TAATGAATCTATATTGTTTAAATAGTGTATAACTTTATATATATATATATATATATATTTATATAATGTATAAACAATGTATTTATGGATAATATCAATGTCACTGCGACATAACTTATCAAGATCATATATTAGAAATCAATCATTTGATGTATAGATTGATGGGCCTCAAGAAAATCCCATATATTCCTAGAGTGTCTGGACAATCAAGAATCAAATTTTGTCATATTTGCATCTTCCAAAACGACAATTACTCTTTCACATGAAAAATATTAAAGAATTGACAATTGGGTTGGTGAAAATTCAACAAAAAAGCATGAGTGTCGAGAGAAGAAGATAAAGGCAACATTTTTTTTTATGGGGGATTCATGTATGGAGAGCATTTCAATGGGAGTTCCACCTTTTATGGTCAGCAACGATCTTTTGTTGAAGCTAAGAGAGTCGAAGGGCTAATTACAGTAATAAATGAATAGTTGAGCTATTTTGAATAAGAACTATGATCGAATGGTTAGTTTGTTTAATTTTTTTTAGAAAAAAATTGAAATTATTAAATGGACAACAGTAGCCGGTCGTTGATATCAAACATCGAATACTACTTTTTGAATTGTAATCTTCTTAATCAAAGGACTATCAGCTTGCTAAAAAAAATATTTTGTATTTTTGATTTGTCAATCTTGTCTTATATAAAATCATTTTCTTAGTAGGTCAATTATGTTTGGTACTTTTGGATTGTCAATATCTTTTCATTGATTTAGCTTTTTCTATCCTTAATTTACATTCCGCTCGGCAAATTCACTAACAATAAACTACTTAGAACACTAATTAACGAGTACAGATAGTCAAGGGCAAAATACATCCAGTATAAATGCTCGATGACATTTTATAATACATGTACTTTCTTAATTTATGTAATATTTTTTTTGTTCGATTCCAGAAAGAATGTACCTTATTATAATTAAAATCAATTTAATTTTCGCACTTTGCATATTCAATATTTAGAATTACTTGATTAAATTGAGAGTCTTTATGTGGTAATTGAATCCGCATCTCCCTTTGCGTTGTCAAATAGAGAAAACGATTTTTATTTTTATCCTTAATGAAATGATTTACAACCATAGAAATTTCTAATATTTGTTTTAGACAAGTTTCAAAAGTCCAAGTCCAACGGTATCACATAGCATGGGATGAAGGGAGTAATTCTTAAAGGCTTGTTTGGTTAGGGATCAAGTTATCCTGAAATTAATTATTTTGGGATTAGTTATTCCAAGATTTTTATCCAATTCTTAGGGCCCGTTTGACCATGCTATATGATATCATGATACGGAATCATGATATGGTATCATGATATGGAATCATGAGATGAAATTGAAGTTTTGTTTAGACATGCGATATGGAATTTTGTATTGTATATTTTCTCATAAACATAAAAATTCCATAAGTTGTAAAACTATTAAAATAGCCCCAATTGTTTATTCAATCTTATCAAATAAACAAAAAATTATAAAATTGCATAATAAATTATTAAAAAGCTAATTGTTCTCCACTTAAGTAATTGTTTCATCTAACTTTAATTTAATTTTAAAAAAATTGAACATAAATTGTAGTGTACTAGTCTTTAATATAATCCTCCCACATAATACGGACAATTTTTCTCACGTTGAACTTGCATTTCTCGATCATGTGACCGAGAAGACGAACCAACATTGTTACTTTGAGCCATTTGTTGGTCAATATCATCCGCAACTATATTTTCATGCTCATAGACCATAAATATTTCATCACTTTAACAATCGGTTGGTGTGAGTTAAAGTGACTATATGTTGGTGAGAATAATAAATTTTATGTCGGTGAGAATAATAAATTTTAAAAAGTAATGATGTGATTATAAATTTTATTTACATATGAAATAAATGGTTAGTAGATATAAATGTGGGGTTGTTTTAACAAAATATAAACT